GATCTGTCTAACCTTATCCTCAAATTCCAGGAATATGAGCTTGTTATTAGAACTGCCATCCACAACCCTGTCCCGGATAAATGTCCCTCTCTGTTGGGTAGCTGGGTGCCCCCCCTTCATTTGTTTCCTGTGTAAATTTGTGGAGGACCTCAATTTGGTCGTCTCATTCCGTCTAATAAACCACCAGAGAATGCTGTTTATTCTCTCCTCGCTTCAAGTCCCAGTCTCACATAGATTACATCTTTGTTTCTCGCTCTCTCGTACCTGCCATTTCTAATGCTTCTCTACTTTCCTCTTCTTTCTTCTTCTTTATCTGATCAGAAGTGTGCTTTCCTCCAGTTGGCTGTGCCCTCTGTACCTCCTTGTGCCTAACAATGGAGATTTAATACTTTTCTGCTTCAAAACTTCAAATTTATATAATCCATAGACTTGAACAATTTATCTCTATTAACGCAGGCTCAACTGATGACTCAGCCTACTGCGGGATGGCTGATAAGGGCTTGTTTTGTGATGCCAAGACTGCTTTCACTAGCAGCCTGGCTCATGAATGTCATCAGAAGATTTCTGATCTTCAATTAGAAAGTGTGTGCTTTCCTCTGGCGGATCAGAACCATGAGATCTGTATTTCTAACACAAGGGCTGAGCTGAATGCTCTTCTGTCACGCTTCGCCAAATTTGTGGTTCATCACACCAGGTCTCGTTATTATGTATCTGGTGTCAGACCTAGTAAACTATTAGCTCTCAGGCTTAGGCAAGCATCGTCCTACCACATGCAGCTTTCTTGTTTGCCTCCAAAGAGTGTTTTGGCAGAGCATCCTACTTCCACTTGAATAGGGCCTCTCCTAATGTAACTGTCTCCAGTCTCTCTCTCGGAATCACTAGATCAACCTCTTTGTTGATAAACTTAAACACCGTAAATACAGAAAAAAATCTATGACTAGCAATGATAATTAAATGATAGTTATACAGTATGCAGTGTCACTCGAGAAATAGTGTGAAACAGGCTATACATTCTAGAACGGGGGTCTCAAACTCCAGTCCTGGGGGGCCGGAGCCCTACACAGTTTTTGGTTCACCCTCATTTAACACACCTGATTCAACTCCTTGTGCTAATTACCACACAGCTCTTCAACTCAATCATTTGTGGTGGAACAGGGAAAGAGCTAAGCTACACAGGGCTCCGGCCCTTCAGGACTGGAGTTTGAGACTCCTGTTCTAGAACCTAAACCTAAAACTCCGAGGGGCCTCGAGGCCCGTCAGTCTCTATCAGCATGACGCCTCTGCCTGCAGGTGCTCTGGTCCCCCCCCACTACAAACACACACAAAACAGGCATTTACGTAAAATGGGGTCTAAAATGGCCCATTGTGTGTGAGTGGATGTGCCCTGTGATGGACTGGCACCCCACCAGGGTGTACCCTGCTCTGGGCTTTTTAGGGATAGTCTCACCTTGGAACTGTACTTGAGAAATGCTTATGGATGAATGGATGGATAATGTATGTTAATTTAGATTCTTATGGCTGCTGGGATTTCAGAAATGTACAACATGGATTGTTAAATTATTTTTTCACTATTATTATGTACATTTAGGGATGTGTGATCAAATGACCAATTCAAACACTCTGGGATGTGTTTTTCAAATCACAATGTTCAATAAGGGATTCAAACCCAGAACCCCTAGGTGGCCTGTGCAGGACCAGTGGACACATCTGTGTTTGTACTCTGTCTGACATACATTTCATGGTGACTGACTCTATTATTACTTTATTTTAGTTGCTGTCAGTGTTTATCTGGCAAAATACTCAGCTCTAGCTTGGAAAGAACAACTTGCAACATTTTCCACTTTATTAATGTTGCCAGTCATCATGGTTTTATTCCCAGGTAAGTATGTTTTCAGGTTTTGTAAAGTATGTATTTAATTAAAATTTGTTTTAGACCTTGGAACATCAGGAACATTGAGGCAGAACTTGGTATAGAGGTATTTATTGTCACGCTTTGGGGAGGCACGGAACGGGGAAACAGGAGCAGGAGTTGCAGGATCAGGGAATGAGGGATTTATTAGGAAAATAACACTGAGCACGAGGGAAAAGCAGGCTGTAACATCAATGACAGAACAAGGGAAACATATTCGAACATGGACTGAAATACACAGGATTAATCAACTTGAAACAGCTGATCCACACACAGGGATTCCACACAAGGTTAACAAGGGGGGTGGCACACAGGAGGATCGGACGAGCAGGGCATGACATTTATTTGATACATTGTAGTGAATTAGATACACAAACGTTAAACTGCAGCATTGAAATGATGTTGATATTTAAAAGTGTGCTTTCCGTAATTAAAATCTACACAATTAGGGTGTTATGATACAATAACCAACTGAAACACCTTTTCATAATCCATTTAAATCTGCTGTGCAGTTTTAGCGTCCAATATTGGATACAAACTCAGAACCCCTAGGTGACAAGTGCTCTGCCGGGTTTTAAACACAGGACCACTGAACACATCTGTTTTATTGCTTTGTGTCTGGTGACTGAAACTTATCTTCCCTTTTTTCAGTTGGCCTCGGTCTGTTTCGAATAATACGCTCCCAAAGGATGGGAAGAACAGTACGATTTAGAGACATTTTTGTAATCATGGGTTATTTCCTGTGTAAGTATATTTATGTGGGTTTATTTGTTCATATTAACATTTGTGTCCATTAGCATAATAAGAATTCTGACCAGAGTGAGATTTAGAGCTATTTCATATTCTGTTGCACACAGGCCCAATGGGCAGCACTGCTGCTGCTTACTGTAACTCCAGGGCTGGGGGTTCAAGTCCCACCTCTGCTCTGGAGTTTGCAGGTTATGGTTTTTGACAGATTACACTTGTACCCTGGGCACCTGACATTTTACCTAGTAGAATGTTACTGTGTGGACCTGATGTAAGGTGACATGTAGGGTGTACGGGCTGGGGGGGGGGCACCTGGCTGCCACGTGGGATGATCCGGAATCCACCCCTGGTGACACTTGCTGGTCCCCACCAACATCACGCCACTGGGTTCCAAGGGACCCTCTGACTTGTCGGGGGATTAAACTCCTTGGCCTGTATTTTGACCCCCACTGCCCTCGGATCATGGGCCTTACTGTGCATGACCTCACAGTGCAGTCGGGCCCTGGAAACGGCAGGATTAATCTCAGGGGAAGAAAAGCCCAAGGACGCTTTATTTAATATCACGTTATATCTGTATAGACTAATAAGAGAATGAGGATGTCTGATTTGATCTGTTTGCCCTTACAGATGATCCCGTGCTGTTTAACATGCTGTTCCTTGTTATTCATTCCCAACTCTTTGCCTGGATTAACAACACATTTAAATTAGGTGAGTCTCCCTGCATTTTCATACTTATTATGTGTGTAAATGGAAGTGGGTGTTTCTAATACATTTAATAACTTCTGTGTGGAGGCTCAGTGTGTCACGACCGGGTGTAAGGGGTGGCAGAAAAGGAGGCAGAAATCCTGAGGTAAGGAAAGATGAGAACAGGGTTTAATAAGGGTGAAATCAGGGTATGGGACAAAAACAGCAGGGATAGGGCAACTGGGACACAGCAGAACCAGGTGCAAACAGAGAGAGTAAGGACTAGCACAGGTAGGGAAACACAGGCCAGGGGTTCAAGGTCCAGATGAGGACTGTTGGGGAGCTGAGGCTTAAACAGGCAGAGGGGAAAGGAGGGAACTAGAGGCTGGTGCCCTGATAGGAACCGGTGGAACTGGTCTGGCGAGCTCTAATTGGTGCAGGGAGGAGAGACTGTGAGCGCCCTCTGCTGGTTCTCAGAGGTGTTGTGACACAGTGGGCAGTACTGTAGCTTCACACTGAGGGTTCGATCCCTGGGTCTGTGTGTGTGGGTCTGAGCCCTGATTGGTATAAACCCCCCCTATTCAAATCTGGCCCTCAATTCCAAATCCAGGCCTTGTTTTCAAGTCTCCCAGGTAGTTAGGTTAATAATTTCTGGCTCTAATTGGCCAGAGACTTCACAACTGGTTCTCAGGTAAAGGAAATCTGGAAAAACAGCAGTGCTCAGCCTTAGACCGTGATTTGACTAGCCCTGGTCTAAACCCATTAATTCTGAGTTATGTGTGGGTATGAACAGCAGGATAAAAACATGTCTGTGCTCACAGTGAAAAGTGAGTTTATGACACTGTCTCTTTTATTGTTACTCGTCTGTTTAAGTGTGAGGGTTGAGGGTCACACAGGTTTGGGCAGAATACTATGAGTAAGCACGTAGAGTCTGAATGCTGAATACACAGTCCTGAATGTATTCTCTATTGTATGCTGGTAGGAAACTCAAAATGTACCTTATTTAGAATACCCTTAGACACTGTATAATATATTGTAATGCCAGCAAGGTCCATTAAACTAGTAATTGTGTGGTAATTGTGTGTGTGGTAATGAACAGCCAAAATAATCTGCGCACAAACTTTTGGAGAATGTGAGCATTGACATCCCCAAACCACTACCAGAACGCTTTACATCCAGGTCAGCTGTTCCAGGGTGCGGTGAAACCTCTCCACCAGGCCGTCACTCTAAGCCCACAGGGGGGTGGTGTGGATCTTGTGCACAGCCAGCTGCACAGGGAGTCGAATACAGTAGACTCAGAGTTCCTCCCCAGGTCTCCGTGCAGGGTCTCTTGATCCCCGAACCGGCTAAAAACGCCCTCCACTAGGGCATATGCAACTGTCTCCCCCTCCTGGTGAGGGGTGGTGTAGGTTTCTGGCCACCGGGTGAAGTAATCCATCCCTGTGAACATATGCCTGTTACCCCTGTCAGAAAATAAAACACCCACCGCTGCTCTATCCATTATGACCCCACTGGGAGCTGCTGGAACTGGGTGAGTGACCTGCCCATTCTGAGCAGAACCACTTGCAGGGCCCTGGGGACACCACCTGCCACCTCTCCTCACTGGTGGCAGCTCCTTCCATTCCACGTGGGTAACGACAGTGTGGCCTGGAGGGGGGTGATTGGGAGGAAGAGACTCAAGTGGTGTTCTGTTATTGGACTTCTTTGCAATGCATGGTTTGTCAATAAAGAACACCATGTTCGAACATAAGGGTGTCCATAAGTGGACATAGTATGAATATGCCCTGGGCTACAGGTCGATGATTGGTATCATAATCGTATCATCTGCGGCCTTCTGTCTTGGACACTTGGGTGAAGAGAGGAGCAGAGTTGTCACCTGACCTGGTGGTGAGTTGGCTCAGGTGGCAGGGGAGGAAGCTGGTTGGACCTGATAGGCCCAAGCGCATGGTGAGAGTCTGCTGGGAACGTCTGCCAGAGGCTCCTGTTCGCCAGACCTTTAACTCGCACCTCCGACAGAACTCCAACTGCATACTGGGGGGAGATTGGGGACATTGAGTCTGAATGGACATTGTTCCAGACCTCCATTGTGGAAGTGGCCGTACAGAGCTGTGGCTCCAGGGTGGTAGGTGCCAGTCGTGGCAGAATCCCTTGTACTTGATGGTGGACACCGGAGTTGAGGGGGGCTGTGAAGCTGAAGAAGGAGGCCTACTGGGAATTATTAGCCTGGGGGTCTCCGAAGGCAGCTGACAGGCACCGGCAGGCCAGGCGGAATGCAGCTCGGGCAGTTGCAGAAGCAAAAACCCGGGTGTGGGAGGAGTTTGATGAGGCCATGGAAAGTGACTTTCCGTCAGCCTCAAACAGGTTCTGGAAAACCATCTGGAATATCATGAGGGGGAAGCAGCTCCTGGTTCCTACTATTTATAGTGGGGGGGGGGGGGGGGGGGCTGTTAACCTCACCTGGAGACATCACTCGGAGGTGGAAGGAATACTTTGAAGACCTCCTCAACCCTGTCTCAGATACATCTACGCGCACTGCCTTTAAGACATCTGAGGGCACAGAGACCTCAAGGGGGCTGGAGTGGACTTGCCCATCACTGGGGCTGAGGTGGCCTGGTTGGTTAAAGGGCTACATGGTGACCGGGCCATGGGTGTGGACGAGATTTGCCCGGAGTACCTAAAGGCTCTGGATGTTGTGGGCCTGTCATGGCTGACATGCCTTCTGAACAGCGTGTGGAGGTCAGAGACAGTGCTGCTGGATTGGCAGACCGGGGTAGTGGTCCCCTTATTTAAGAAAGGGGACCGGATCACACTTCTCAGCTTTCCTGTGAAAGTCTATTTTGGGGTACTGGAGAGGAGGGTGAGATTGATAGTAGAATCTCGGAATCAGGAGGAACAATGAAGTTTTCGTCCTGGGTGTGGAACACTGGACCAGCTTTATACCCTTGTGAGGGTACTGGAGGGGGCCTGGGAGTTTGCCTATCCAGTCTACATGTGTTTTGTGGATTTGGAAAAGGCTTACGACCGGGTTCCCCGAGGTGCTCTGTGGGGGGTGCTTTGGGAGATGGGGTTCATGGCCAACTACTGTGGGCAATTCGGTCCTTGTATGAACGGAGCAGAAGCTTGGTCCACATTGCCGGTAATAAGTCAGACGTATTCCCAGTGTGGGTTGGGGTCCACCAGGGCTGCCCTTTGTCATCGGTCCTGTTTATAATACTTATGGACAGGATTTCTAGGCGCAGCCAGGGTGTTGAGGGTGTCTAGTTTGGTGGCCTCAGGATTGCGTCGCTGCTTTTTGCGGATGATGTCGTCCTGTTGGCTTCATCTGCTGGGGATCTCCAGCCTGCTCTGGGGCGGTTCACAACCGAGTGTGAAGTGGTGGGGATGAGGATTAGCACCTCCAAGTTCGAGACAATGGTTTTCAGCCGGAAACGTGTGGATCGCCCTCTTCGGGTCAGTGAGAAGATACTGCCTCAACTGGAGGACTCAAGTATCTCGGGGACTCGTTCACGAGTGATAGTAGGCGAGATCGAGAGCTGGACAGACAGATCGGAACGGCATCTGCAGTTTTGCAGGCGCTTAACTGGTTTGTCGTGGCTAAGAAAGAACTGAGCTGGAAAGCAAAGCTCTCGATCTATTGGTCCATCTTTGTCCCTACCCTCACCTATGATCATGAGCTATGGGTAATGACCGAAAGAATGAGATCATGAAATGAGGTTTGTCTGGGCTCTCCCTTAGAGATAGGGTGAGTAGTTGGAGCAGTCTCAGAGTAGAACTGCTGCTTCTCTACGTCGAGAGGAGCCAGTTGAGGTGGTTTGGACATCTGGTGCGGATGCCTCCTGGGTGACTACCCAGAGAGGTTTTCCGTGCATGTTCTACAGGGAGGAGGCCCTACGGCAGACCCAGGATGTGCTGGTGGGATTATATCTCTCGGTTCGCCTGGGAACTCCTCGGCATCCCCCCCGAAGAGCTGGTAGAGGTAGCTGGGGAGAGGGAGGTC